TGAGCAGTTTCACTAAATCTTTTTTCTAGACATTCGGCAGAAAGCTGTATTGGCTGCGAAATACTGCTTAAGCCATATCTCTTGTTTCCTTATTCAGGAAGTTCTCTAAAAGTTAGGCTTCGGCTGGACAGGTTACTGCGGTGCGGAACAGTAAGTGAGCAAGGAGAAGCCACTCTAAAGCAAAACTGGGAGGTTTTCCCGATTTAGTAATGGAGAATGTTAGACATTTAGGCAGAGACAGTAACGAATGAAATAATTGTTTGAATGAGAAATTTTGAAATATACAAGGACAAAAAGAGGAGGTTTGGAATGCGTAATTGTTGTATTAAGTAGCTGGTTGATCGTATTATTGTCGCCACCTGTATTTGATCTCATGCAGTTTTACGATTCCGTCACAAAGAGTTTACAGGTGAACAACTTTGTTAAATGTTCGCTAACATATGAAAGAAAGTAAGCTGTTTTATACAACTTTTCATCTCTTTTACTATAAACTTTGACTTACCTTCTGCAATTTCACTTCAATTTTTTTCTTATTTTTCTTCTGCTTTGCTGCTCCTTCAGTCAGATTCGAACTGATATTCTTGCGTAACGCCTGAATAAAGGTGGTAAATCAGGGTTAACTGGGAACTCTTTCATTCTGCAAATTTCTGGCGGTTTATGGGACACAATTTTACCACACATTTACGTCTGAAAATTGTTGGTTTTCCAATCAGAAACCTCAAAAGTGAATTCTGAGCTCTTACTTCTCTAAAGGTGAATTCCTCGTTTTCTCTTGATTGTTCAAGACGCTCCTTTTCTGCTACGTTTTCTCTTCTGGCTCTTTCCATCTCTTCCAGTAATTCTTTACGCTTTGCTAGATCAGTTTCAAATTCTTTTTTGCTATCTCTGTAAAAACTTCTCCTTTAGGTGCCAAGCAAAATTTCACAGAGCAAGTAGTTACAAATTTAAATAGATTGTAAATAAGCTACCAAAAAGACAGTAGAACACGAGGTTTTATAACAGGAATGGGACTTTTTATATCGAAAATTATAATCAAAACTGCTCTAGTTCTAAAAGAATTTAAGACTTGTTCTCTACTTTTAGCAGTTGGTGGAAGGCTAACCACAACTGACTGACCGTCTGCAAGCTTTCAAAACAACATTTGAAGAAAGAATACTTATTGTCACATCGGGGGCGGTCATCAAATGCGTAACCAACAACTAGTTATATAACGAGATAGTATATATTTTTAAAAATAACGTCACCTTTGCCATGGTGATTGAAATTTTAATATTTAGCTAAATTACAGTTTCATATTTGTCTACACCATTGAACTAAGCTTATCTTAAAAAGAATAGCCTAACAAAAAGAAGGAGCATACTTAAGCACTTGTACAAGTATTGTATTTTCGTATTCATTGGGATCAATCTGCAAGTTTTTGACCATGTCATCCCATGCTTTCATTTCAGCTTTTGTTTGATCTTCTACAGCTTTTTTTTGCCCATCTTTTTCTCCCTTGATGGGCGCTTCCACGGTTCTTCCATTTTCTTCACCAGATTCTTCTGTCATTAAGTGTTTTGTAGTATCTCTGTTTTGGTCATGTTTAGATGTGGTCTCTAGAGGATCTGTTCTGCTTGAATCTTCAGCGTTTTTTGCTTCAGAGGTTCTTAAACTTTTCACGTCTTCTAAGTTTTTTTCGTCAACATCAATACGCAGTACTGCTGGAACTAAGCCGCATATAACCTAAAGTTAGTTTTTAAAAAGGTGATGTTTACATATGAAACAAAGATGACAAGATTATGGCTTGTAAAGCAGTTTAATCTTCTAAATTTCAGTGATAAATATATTGAAACGTTGGAAAATTCTGCTAACAATTTGATACGCCTTCCTAGTCACCAGTTATCAGTAAAAAATAAAAATTAACTTAACAGAGCATTCGGATTTAGTATCGCTGTAAATTTTTTTTCGCATTTTTGTATTTCATTAATGCAGCATATGTCTAAATAGATTATTTGATCATAAATTTGCCATAACTGAAGAATGGAAAGGAAGAAACAAAGCATTTATTTTATATCAGTAGATTACCTCAATCATATGAATTGCTTGCAACTGTAGTTCAATGTTTTTTCTCATCATCATTGAAACAAAAACTTCATAGTCTTGAGCAGCTGCCACGGGTTCAAGTAATGCCTAAACGGGTTAAATTATTAGAATTTATTATGCGCTAGCGGGTGAATAATGAAACAGCAAGGATAGGATAACGACATTTCCGGTTTGACGCAGAATTGTTGAAGCAACTGACTCGGCCTTTTACTGTCATCTGTGATTTGAAGTGATTCTCCTTCATTGATGCCACTAATTGTTCAGCTTTGACATGTAGATCGTCGCAAAAACACTCCATTAGTGCGTCAACAAGTGATACAAATTCTTTATGGATTTTTTTGTACAAATCTTTGTCTTCCTGTTCACGATCAAATACTAAATGTTTTTTGCTCAAGTTTTCTTTCAAAATACATGAAATAAAAAAGGGGTCATTTATTTAATCAAAAAAAAGACTTATTAAAGAGAGGTGAACAACAAATATAAGAAACCTAACGACTTCTGCTCTATGAATGTTGCTATGGGAAGTGTCCACATCGAGGATTTTATAAATTCTAAGAAAAATCTAAATAACATTGTATTGTCAAGAGCACGTCGTCCATACGGTCCATAGCGATTGCAAAACATTACTTCGAATTAAATCCACTTATTTTTCATGCTCTATCTACAAATCAAAAAATATATGAAAAATTTGTAAGCGAATAATAGATGACAATAATTATCGGTAAGAAGTATTAAGAAAAATTATCTTGAAAGAAACAAACAAAACGAAGATAGCGCAAAATGAGAACGGTCGCACACTGTTACTCCAAATATTAGAATGTCATCAGTAGTTTCATGAAAGGTTTGTTTAAAGTTTATTTTCTGAAACACCTTAGACTACTCTAGCAAATGTTTGAAGTTAAAGCAAAAATGGCTTTGACAGCATTGGCATTTGAAAGTTGCTTTTCTTCAGCGATACTGATCAGCAACAAGAGGTGTCGCCATAGAGACAAGATCATTAATGTTTAAGCTTAACGCCAATTTCTCATTAAGTAAATCCTATGTATTTTGCAGTTAATGAGACCCTTCCTCCTGATATGTTGTTTATTGGAATCCAGCAAAGCAAAAAAAAAATCTAATATGTCTTATTAAAGGATGTTTGGTAAAACAAGCCTTGCACGTATCACTGTGGTGCTAGTTTTCATCAATTAAGTCTAGTGCACAATTTGCCGGAGACAACAACCGCCCGTTACACTTAGCGCATACGCTCTTTTTTTTTTTTTTTGGAGATGACTTCAACAAGTATCTTATATTTGCGGTCTGCGAATAAGATGTCGCCAACAGAATTTTTTAAACTCTCCGAAGCCAACAGATATTTACAGTAATAAAAATTAGTATAGACATAAACACTTTAATCAGTGACTTTTTCGTTTAAAAACACGATATGGAACGTTGGCGTTCTATGCATTCTGTAATAACTCCTCCTGTCCGTTCCCCCTTATGAGTAAAGAAAAAGCTTAGTGAGATCTGTAATATTCTGAAGTTTTGTGATTGGTATTTTGCAAAAAAAATTTGCGACGTCCGTCCATCAAGCAAGAAAAAGTTTGTCTGTAATTCGACCGCAGCAAAAACAAATTCAAAACTTTTTCAGCCTTTTTAGTTTATCAAGTTCCCAGTCAGTCCTCAGCTCTCATTAATTTTTTTTTTTTCTGCATCAAAAATAAAGCGTAAAAAAATTATTTCTTTTACATAGTTTTGTTCAAATGTGCTACTCTCAAACCTTTCACAATTACAGTTACTAATAGCAGAGAGCGACAAACGTCGAGTATTGTTTGATGAAATTTCTAATATTGAACTGGTCACTTTTTTCTTTCACTGGTTGATTTAGTAGTCAAGAAAATTTTATTCTTTTCTACAGGTTTTCGTTTTAAAAAACAGTGTAAAGGCATTCAAATTTAAGCATACTTCGCGACTTCTTATAAACTGTGAACAAAACAATTTTACAATTTATATCGCTGTTTTTTGTTCTTTACATCACGAAAGACCAAACATTCATATAAATATTGAGAAAAAAATTCTGAAAACACGTTTTTTAACAAGTTATACAAATTCAGTGTTGAAAATTTGAATAGATAGAACGTATTGCTTTCCATCTTTCGATTAATAAACATATAAGTATAATTATTATTATAATAATTCCAACGGCACTTATAGAAACACAGCGAAGTAGCTTTGAATCAATGAATGTAAATTTTATGCTGTTATAAAAATAAGAAATAAAAAGTAAAAAATAATGTGAGAAAAAAAAGTAAGATAAAAAATTATAAACAGGATAATCACACAAAAGCGGTGTTGATATCTTTCTTTCGTTGTTGTTGTTCGAAGCCATAAAAATGTGAAAATTAATGTTTGGCTTATATGATTTACCACTGTTAAAAACAATTTGTTATCGCTAAATTCGTTTGTTTCAAAAACAAAAATAGATTAAGTAAATAATTAGT